CCCACGGGGTTAAAGCAATACCTGAACTTCATGGGGGCAAAGTGAGACCTGAACCCCACGGGACCAAAACCAGAGCTGAACCCCATGAGAACAAAGCCAGAGCTGAACACCAAGAGGCCAAAACCTAACCTGAACCCCACAGGAACAAAGCCAGACCTGAGCCCCACGAGGCCAAAACCTAACCTGAACCCCACAGGAACAAAGCCAGAGCTGAACCCCACAGGGCCAAGGGACAGTGACCCACTGCACTGTGCCTGAAGTAAATCACACATTTTCTGCATGATACTGTGTTCTCCTGACAGAAAAACAAGCCAAAAGATACTCTAACTGGACAGGGAGAGAGGGAACTGCTCTTCAAGTGCTTGCTGTAAGTAATGCCTCCCAACCAGCCTCATGGAACAAAGACATGAGAGGGAAAGGTGGGAACTTCCTAAGCTTTGCCTCATGTGTGGTAAAATCAGCCCCAGAGCTGTGGGTGTTACGAAGGAAGAGACTAACTCCATTATGGGGTGTTCCTTTAAGATATTCCTTGCAGAACTAGAGATTAATTTTCCACATTTATGCTTTTAATAACGTTGCTGTGGCAGTCTCTGGTTTCTTGTCTGGTAAGTACACTGACCTCAGACTTGTTTTATCCCACATCTATGGGACAGTGACTTTTGTATGGATATTTGCTGCCTCAGGGCCCTGTTGGCAGTTTTGCTAGCAGTCTAACTGTTTTGTCTGAGCAGTGAGGGTTTGTCTGGGACAAGGTTGGGGCTGTGGTCGTGGTGTGAGTGTCTTGCATCTCTCTAAGTGGCAGCATCACACCCCCAGGTCTGTGGCTGGCAGGGAAGGAGTGTGGCAATAAGGCTAAGGACTTCGTGTAAGGACCAGTAAACTTTGCAGGGTGTGCAGCAGAAACATCTGTGTACAAAGACTGGGATACGTAAATGCAGGCAAAAGGAATTAAGAAATGACCTCTAACAGAGTAATAAATGAATCTTTTCCCTGAATCACTTCCTTCCCAGAACTCTGAGCCATGTGCCCTTTCACAGCTGCCTCCTTGAAGGTTGCTAACCCCTCATATCTGCCAGCAGAACCCTCTGCATGTCCTTAACTCATTTATCTGAAATACACTAAAGACTGAACTGGAAATTCTTAGGTGTTCCTTTTGCACACACAGTGATTTTTTTTTTGGCTAGCTGCTTTATATTGCCAGGCAGTAAGATTCACTCAGATATGTTTAGTCTGACTGTTGTACTACACTAATGACATACTAGCTAATGTTTGGATGGGTTTCATAGCCATAAAGACATTTTAATATGTGTTTAGAGTGAAGTGAGCCCCTTTTACAGATTTAGCAATATCTCAAACTCTCCTAAGAGAGTATGTTTGCCTCAAAATGGTGTAACAGCTGAATTGTGCCCTCACACGGGATGATTCTGAGGCAGTTTGTGCTGGATGTTGTAGTGTTTGCAACCAACAAAGATGAAAAAAAAAATAAGGAAGTCATAAACCAACATGAGAAAGAAGCTGATGCTGAGCACAATGTCCTTTGAGGGTCTGGCCCAGCTTCTGAGGCAGCGAGCTGGAAATCCATAGTACATTTGTCTCTTATTTTTCCTCATTTGTTCCTCTTTAGACTGTCTGAGCATACCTACAGTCCCCATCCTACACCTCTTTGTGAAATGCTCTGTCATCTGTGCACTGCACAGCTCTGAGCTTTGCTGAGGGAATGGTATGAGCACACACAAAAATCAGAGAGGCCCTTTGAGAAGCTGCAGCACAGATCTGGGATGCAGTGAATGGTAGGACCTGGCAGCCTTTGGGTTCCATCCTGTGGTCCCTGACCACATCCAGACAAAAAGCAAACAAACCAGCCAAGCAAACGTGGGGCTGAGACAGGCCATGTGCCCCAGCTGGGCCAGCAGCAGGCGTTTCTGTGGTCCCCACGTGTGGTTTGCCTCAAGTGACACCCAGACAGACACTGCCTGTCTCTGTGGCAGCCCAAGGGGCTGTGCTGGGGTGGCCTTCCCTCCCTGTGGCCAGTGCTCCATTAAAATGCTCTCTAGGTTCTCAGTGCTACATCTGGGGCAGATCCATGGATTCAGTGCTGAATCACAGGAGCTGAGGATCTGGCCACTCTGTTTGCAGTTTGTGCCTGAGTTCATGAAAGGTCCACTTGTAAACCTTTAAATGTGGCTATTTTCTTAGTTGGTGCAGTTACAGATTCAAAAACTAACTGTTGATTTGCAAACCTCTCTGCTTGCCCAGCAAAGAGGAGAAAGCAAATTGTATCTGTTCTCTGCTGGTCTTCCATAAAGCCACTGTGCAAAATTAGGCCTTGCTGGTATTTACAGACCTACTAGTTGAGATCCAGCAAGATGATTTTCTCCTTTTTGTGATAATTGTTTTGATTATTGGACATGTCGAGTTAGATCCATATCCTAAAGAGGTGTATAAGAGACATGTGCAAGTGCTGAAGGATGAAAGGTTTTGTGGGGCTTATTTAGTACAAAACTGGCTCCATTTTAAGTCAAATGTGACTGTTGCTTTTGGTGGTACATTTTGTTTACTAGCAGCACTTAGAGTCTGATTTTCAAGAGAGTTTAGAGTTATCTGACTTTCGTTGTGCCACTGAACTAGCAACAGAGTTTGGATAAATCAAGACACTTTTGAAGAAACATTTCTTAGGGTTTTATCAATTCTGGTTTTTACAGTTTTGGAAACCAGAAAACTTTTTAGTCTTTCACGGTTGATTGTAAACTTCAGTTTTCTTTCTTATAGAAACACTTTTAATCGGAATTTTCCTGTCCATGTATTTACTTTCAGTCCAAAACAAATGTGGAGTTACATGACCTACTATAAACCTGACTTGCATAAGGAGATATCATCTAGTATTTGCCCCTAGGTAAGATCAGGCACGTGGACAGTGGGTACAGCTCAAGTGACATGTGGTAACTTGATAACAATCATGTTAATTTTTGTTCATGTTATGTGACAGCCAATGGAGTAATCTTCATCTCTGCAATGATATTTGCACCACAGGAAAGGTTTGGAATTAGGAGATGAGTTGCCTCTGCCAAACACTGGTTTGGATGTTTGTGCAGGCCAATTTCCAATTTATGGGGTTGGATTCTGTGTGTGAAGATTTGTCTGGGTTTTTATATGCTGAACAGGAACCGTGAAGGGTAAAAATGTATTTCCTAATCATTCAATAATAATCTAACTGGAAATTGGAAATATACTTCCTGATAAAAAAAAGCTGCTCTGCTTGAGTCACTCTCAATCTGAGCGCTTAACTCTAAGAAAAAGGTAGGTACAGATTTATTTATGGCCATGTCAAGGTTAAGAGGTATCAGAATCTGATAAAGAGACTTTTTTTCCTCTAAAACCCTTGGGCCACACTGTGTACCCCAGAGTTACAGATACCTGGACACCAAGACTTGCTTATTTTATTGCTTATTTTATATCTGGAGTCCATTTTCCTGTGGTATCCTTTGGAAGTTATCCTAAATGATTGGCTCCAAGTGACAAAAAAAATCATAAAACTTAACCAGTCACAGAAAGACTTAAATACTGTAAACCATGTTCTGGATCCAGCTGTGGACTTCAATGTAAACTGTACTGGTAATAAAGCAGAAATAGGATCTTGCAAACAGGAAATATTCTTATATTTTTATTATTTATTTTGTAGGGTTTCAGCCTGATCATTGCTGGACTCTTCCTCTCCGAGCTGAGAGAAAATATGCTTAAAAATTCCTCAGAAGCCTGAAGAAGAAGCACATTTTTTACCTGTAATTCCATAAAATAGTGGAGCTTTTGCCTCATTTCTAATGGCTTTAAACTTTGGCACATTTAATATTGATGCTTTTCAAGGCTAAGCTCATTGTGTAAGCCTAAAAAACAATTTTTGTGACTTGCATAACATCTGCTGACTTTAGATTTTCTGTGAAAATTTGAAGCATAGCTCCAAACTTTCAGCCTCATGTTCTGCCCTACAGAACACCATTAGGAGTTCCAACTCAACATCCACACATGATCTATAGCGATATAGCTCCGTTCTTTCCAGCAGAATGATATCCATTGTCACCAGGCCAAAATCAGGTCCTTTTTTTTCAGTTTGGGACCCCAGATCCAATTCTGACAAGCAGATTTGGAAGACTTGTGGGCTGAGTTTCAAGTCATTGTATCGAGAGCACTGGTTCTTGGACCATGTTCCATAGCAATGATAGTTGTATTTCACGTTGTCTGATGGCCAATTCATTCATCAGGAGTCAAATACTGCTCAGAAATACTTTATTTCAGTGTGATGTTCCAGGAATCAAGTACTGATCAGGGTAATGTTGATTTACTGTTCATAAATCAGACTTTTCTCCTTTAGCTGTTGAAAGACTTTAGCGTCTATTTTACCTAAATGTGCAAATTGTATTTTTCTTCTAAAATTCAAAGGAAATAGCTTGGCAAATAAATCTTTTCTGAGTAGGTAGAAAACACTTCTCAAATCTGTCTGGGCTAATAATTCTCCCTGTTTTGGTTTCCCTCATTTGTATATGTTAGGCTTAGCGAAGACTGGAATGAGGCTCAAATTCTAACGCCACTAAGCACAGAAGTTAAACTGCTGAATGGAAAGATTCATAAGTTACTTTCACAGAGTTACACCACCTAAATGTCAGTTAAACTAAATAATTGCTTGCAGTCTCCGTTGCATGTATTGCAGTGAGACTGAAGCCATTTCCAGGGGCTGTGGAAGGAATTCCTTCCCTGTCTGCTTATACCCTCCCTGATGGACACACACAGAAAATTCTTTCCTAACAGAGCCTAACTCAGCCCATCTGAAAACTTTTGGGGTGTTTCTTTCCAGATTAAAGCTGTAGTAGATGCCCAGTAGTAGCTTAAGAACTCCAAAGGAAGTTTTACAGACAGGACAGAGCAACTATATTGCCTATGAGTGAGCACAGAAACTGTTAAATTACAGGAAATGACTGGAAATAGTTTCAACCAAAGTTTCTCCTTACCTTCTTGAGCAAGTGCTGCGAAAGGCACAGTCCCTAGGACAAGGATGAAGAATGGAACTTTATAAAACATCTTTGATCTGCTCAGGGAGTCGCTTTCCAATCCTGGGGCCAGATGGATCCAAGTTCAGATCAGTTCTTTTAGAGGCAGAGGAGACTTGAGATCACAAAAAGAAATCACTGCAAAAAACGTACTTTGGTATTCCAAATATTCCTTTAGCTGCTGGAGTCTAAGGAGGGAAGGCTCTCCCAGATGATAACTGTGCAGTTAGAGAAAACTGAGTGGAGTCAGCATTATTTTCTTTAGCCAAGGGGTGGGAGCATGCCTAAGGTGGTCCTCAAAGAGCAGCCAGGCCCGCCCTCCCCACGCTGTTTGGTCAGCACCAAAATTATGATCTCAGCCCAGGTTTAAAGTTACAGGAGCTGTTGTGGCTTTCAGGAGACTTTTATTTAGCAAAATGGGAAAGGGGATTTAGCCAGAGTGAGGTGTTCCTTTCCTTCTGCAAACTGTCCTTAAAAACTGCTTAAGGAACAACACTGAGGACATTTTTCTTGTTATTTCCAGTGGTGAAGTGATGAGTTTTTTTCATTTCAAAGTGAGCCCCCGTGTTTATCTGAGCAAGTGTGGTACTGAGTGTGCATTTAGGGAGACTGAAATAGTTTTAGGACAGGCTATTTAATTCTGCAGTAAATACCATCTGAATTTCTCTGTGTGTCTAAGTCCCTCAGCTTGTGTCCTCAGTTGACATCCTGGTTGTACTCAACCATTTATCTCTGCCCACAGGTTTGCTGGCCTCAGGGTGCTGATACCACCCTTCAGACAGAGGATTTTTCCTTTTGGTGTGTATCTATTAGTAGCAGAGCTCTGCAACAGTCTGTGCAAGACTCCTTACTTTTATTTGTAAGTGTTTCTGGGCATCAGCATTGCAGGTCAGATAACACCAACATCTGTAAGAGATGCCTTAGCTCACCAATAATGTACAGAAACTGGGGCTGAACAGGTCTTGGGGAGCAATGATTGATATTAATCCTTTCCTGAATCTTCCCTTGTCTTGGGCAAGTAATAATCTACTGATTGATATGTATTTAGGTGGTGAGTTTTAGTCAGTGCTCACATAGGAACAAACTGTGCCACAGAGCTGAGAGAGGAAGTGTGTGACCTCTTTCCTCAGCTGCTCTACCTCCATGTCCTGCAGTGCCAGGACATCAGGCTCCAGCAGAGCAGCACCAGAATGGATTTGTCTTCTTTATGCTGACAGTTGTGGAGGAGGTAACCTCTGCTAGAGGACTGGGGAAGGCTTATGGCCTTTATCATTTATAAATACACACAAAAAACCCCATCCAAACAAAAAAAAAAGAAACCCCTAACCCATGGCTAGGTTGTTTTGCTCATGAATGTGAGTCAGAGCTGTCATTAAGACCCCAAAACACTGGTGCTATAAAGGACCAAAGCAAGCTCAAACGTAAGCAGTGATGTAAAAAGAGCTGCAGATGGGAAATACAACACCTTCCATAGGGATTTTCTTCCCTTCTGAAAGTCATAGGTGCCAAAGGAATTTGTTAGCTATAAATTATGGTGCTATAATTGTGTTCTTTGTGTTTTTCAGCCTGGAGAAGAAAAGGCTTTGGGGTGACCTAATTGCAGCTTTCCAGTACCTGAAGGGAATCTACAAGAGACATGGTGAGAGACTATTTACAAGGGCCTGGAGTGCCAGGACAAGGGGGAATGGGTTCACACTGACATATGTAGGTTTAGATGGGATATTAGGAAGAAATTGTTCCCTGTGAGGTGCTGAGGCACAGGTTGCCCAGAGCAGCTGTGGCTGCTCCATCCCTGGGAGTGTTCCAGGCCAGGTTGGATGGGGCTTGGAGCAACCTGGGCTGGTGGAAGGTGTCCCTGCCCATGGCAGGGGGTGGAAAGAGATGAGTTTTAAGGTCTCTTCCCACCCAGGTCTTATATGATTCTATGAAGATCACTAGGAGAAAACAGTTGATCCCAATGCAACAACAGGCAATATTGGCTTCTTGTCTTTAGGAAAACAGCAAAATAACTAACTTTCAGCATGTCTTAAATCTTAAAATCTGAGATTAATTATTTCTTGATAACTCTGCTTGAAATTTATATAAAAGAGTGTTTGCTTATTGGAGAAATGCCCCAGATGGAAGTGCAGTTTGCTAGGGGAGTGTGTCAGTTTTAATGGAACTTATTTTGAAAAACTGAAACATTTTTTTTTAACCTTATCAGAATGGAATGTTTGGAATTCTGCAGGTATTTTGAGAACAAAAAAATGCATGTAGTACGCTATGAAATATAAACTGGAACAAACAGTGACTTAAAATATTAATGAATTTTCAACAGAAGCAAAAAAAAAAGGTTTATTTAGGATTTCATTCAATTTCCTTCAAGAATGCATGGAAGACCTTTTATAATTCTTCATGTAAGCAAACTTGTCTCAGATTTAGGAATAAGCTTTTTTAAAGGAGAAGCTGTTTGCTGAATTAAATAATTTCTTCCTTAAAACTGTGCTGTATTCTGGGTACAAACCTGGAGCTCTTGAGCTTTCTGGAACTGGAGATGTCTAAGTTTCAGTGGCTGCTCCAACACTTTTTAACACTTTTATTGTTCTTCCCAATAAGGAATAGTTTATCCTATGCCAGACTCTATCTCCTGCTCCATCCTGTTCCTCAAAGAAAAACTCTGTAGATAAATATAATGAACTACGAAGAATTTAATAGAATCAGCTTCTATCACAGTAGCAAAGTGCAACAAAGGGAGAGAAATGTGCCCACAGATACAAAACAAGTTAATGGAAAAGCTAGGAATGTCTTACTAATTGTCATCTTGGCATGGAATTGTTCCTTAAGGACAGCCATGGCAGGAACTTGCCTTCCAGTGGGGACAGCATGTTGCTGTGTAAGGAGCTTAAGGCTGGGAGACAATGCTGAGCCCTCTGATTTAAAACATCAACAAAATTCTTTTAGAAGAGCCAATATACCCTTGGGAGAGGGTGTGGAGCCAGAGAGAGGAGGGAGCAATTTTCCCCTGAACTGTCCATACTAAGGGGATTTAATGAAACTGTAGGTCACTGTTTTGTGAGTGTGCTAAGCTAATAGGTTGTGTGAAAATTAAGGAGTTATTCTAAGGTTTTGTTTAATTCATCTGCATTTAAAGCAGCACTTAATTCTGTGTCTCCCCATGTGTGTGTGTGTCTGTGCTGGTTGGCAGTGGATTTGCACACGTGCTCACATGCTGTCATGAAATGAGGGTTAGACCATGCAGAGGTGTTGTAATTTGGCCTGGGTGTGTTATGACAGTTCCCACAAATTGCCAGGATATGAGTGCATGGGTCACTCTTTCTTTTTTGCCAGGCAGGTCTGTGTTTTTCATCACAGTGGTTTAGGGGAGGAGGTGCAAAGGGGCTAGAGCACACACAGGCCTCATGTTTTCATTTCATAATCGGTTCTTTCCGTCTCGTATCAGTGGTTTGCAGAGTCTTGTGAGAGGCTTAGGCTGTCTCTGCTCCAGTGGGAGCAAAGAATGAAGCAGAGCTGGGGGAGTAGAAGAGTGGTGACTGTATCCTGCACCGTGTTCCACCTCAGGGGCCAAGACATGGGGGATGATGTTTTCCCCTGAATCACTCAGTGGTGCAATATGAACTCGGGGGCACTGTAGGCAATCAGAGGTTCCCCATGGTCACAAATGGGCTTTGACTTCATGGAAATAACCTGCAAGATGGGAACATCATCATCCACACTCCATTTTAAGTCCACCATGTAGACCTGAGCACGAACCTGCAGGGGTGACTGCTCTCTATACACACATCTCAAAAGATCCCACACGTCTCCTCTCTTGGCACAGGGATGTCCAAGTTACCCCTCTACAGTCCCACAAAGTCTCTCAGGTTGTCAGCAGTCACAGCATGGGGACACACTGGAATATTCTGCCTGACTTAGTACAGAATTTTCCATGAGTGTGCTACAATTTCTCTTTCCATAGTACCCTCTCCAGAACAAAGGAATTTTTAGCTTGCAGCATCTGCAGTCCATAGAAAGTAAACCCATGTTTCTCCTTTCTTCTCTTTCACTAAAATCACTTGAAAAGTGTAAATTAAGCATTCCATTGGATGACATCCTTTACAAATCTCCTCTGTAACTCAAAAGATACTGTCTCTTTCTGTTGCCAAATTTCCTGTTTCTGTACCCTGGGGGCAGCTGTGGGCCCTGCAATATTTGGTCAGAAGCATAAAGGCTGTTTTCTGCAAGCTTTATTAATTTTCAAGCCATTTCCTGTTTTCCCTTTGCAGCCAAACCCACCCCTTTTGGCAGGTAGTGAAATGCAAAAACACCCAACTCACTCTGAGGGAATGTTCAGTTACTTGGCAGAAAAGACCCCAAATGATAGCTCCAATTTTTATTATCTGCTTTCCACAAGGCAACTTTGCTTTCCAGTGGGGGAATCTTCCAGCAGATCATGCTGTATGGAATTGCAGAAGGCTTTTGCAGAACTACAGATCTTTGCCTTCAGGAATGGCTTTTACCATCCCTTATTCCCAAATTTAAAGTTCAAGTCCATCATCTCTTGTCATTGATTTGCACAGGACTCAGATAGGTATCACTTTGCCATAGCTTTTGGGTTTGAGTCACTGTGGGTTCAGTTTCCAACTTTTGGAAATGCATTTGGTATGCAAGATAGGAGAACATATATTAACCTCTAGCTTTCAAAGTGGCAATCCAGAAGTTTTTCACTGTGCAGGTGTCAGGGAATGGGGGAAGAAGATGCTACTTTCACCCTGCCTGTGTTTCAGGCAGCCTTTCCTGACTGCCAGGGACATCTCTTGTGGTAGGAAGTCAGACTTGCAGCTCATAAATTCACTGTTTGAAAAGTAAAATGTGCCCTATAGGAAGGGGTTGGTCTTAGTATTGACAAATTCAATTATTCATATTATGCAGCTTTTATAAGATAAGCAGCTCTAAATCAAATGCTGTTACTTGGCCATCTGTGCTCCTCACAGTATAATATATGCACAGAGCTGTGAGCAGCCCAAACTGTCAGATGGAGAGAAGAGAGATTATGAATGAGAAAACTGCAACAATGCTTGAAGTTGGAGATCTTAAGCTACAATAGGGAGGATACTTGTCAGTCACTTTTAGAGATGGGGCTAGATTTTCAGCTGATGTAACCTGGAGTTTTCCCAAAATCCATTTATACTAGAGCTTCAATCTATGGAGAATAGAGGCAACCTCAAATATTTTAGGATCTGAGAAATGGGCACACTGACCCAGTGCCCCTAGGCTGTTCAGGACACTGATGGAGAGAGAGTAATTTGGAAGCAACCAGGTCTCATCCTAGCCAGGAAATCTAGATGTATTGAATTGACTCTCAAACTAGTATTTAAGAGGGGAAAAAAGTAAGGATCTACACTTGAAATAGTTTTATTTAAGATTTATGGGCAATTGTTCTTTGTCCAAGCTGCTTTTCTTCATGATGCCATTTCAGTCAGTCCTGGAAAGAGCTGATTAAGGTATGTTGGGAGAGGGAAAGGGCACAGAGAGCTGCACAGGAGTTTATGTAAGGGTGAGGTGATCTATGTAAAATGTCAAACTTTCTCTATAATGTTTCAAAGTCTGTGGTTTGTTGAGGTGACTTTATTTCCTGCTTTCATAATTTCAAAGCTGAACTTGGGTTTTGTTCTTATTGTGAGGATCTTCATCGGAAGCAGCAGAATTTGGGCTGTTTTATTTTGTACTGAAGAGCAACATCATTGCCTACCTGAGGCAGAATACTGGTGTGGAGGGAGTGGGACACATTTGGGAGGTGATCTGCAGTGCCTTTTCCAAGATGATGTGTGTTGGTTGTTTATAAACACTCTGGAGCAGAACCTCTCAGCTGCTTCCTCAGTAAGAATTTCTCCTGAGACAGCAAAGTTCTCTGGGGACACAGTCCTGAAAACATAGGTTTCATGGAATCCAGCAGGTTACATAGGGAGTAAGAGCTGATTGTAAGGAGTGGGAATGTCCCTCAGGACACCCTGGAGTTGGGATTTCTGTCAGAGAGGATTTTATCCAGAAAGTCTTCCCAAAGTCTGCCAGGAGTTGTCTCTACGTGACATACAATGGAGTGACTCAGAGTTAAATATGGAATGCCCACTCCGTACTACTTTTAAACCTGTGACTGACCACCATGTATTTAACAAAAAATTATAAGGTTGACGTAGGTTTTCTTAGGTCAGGAGTGTTTTTTAACTAGATGAGTTATAAAAGGAAAGCAACACAGCAATGGAGCCAGAAGAGGGGAAAAAACCACATACTGTGTACTCAGTCTCATTTATTGCAGTATGGTTCTAGTAGTTTTTCTTAATCCTTTCAAAGGTTTTCACTGCTTTGATAGTGAGTTTATACAGATAAAGCTAATGCCTGTCATTAGGAATTTACATGTCCTAATTTTTTTTTAAGTACACTTTGTGTTAGTGTGCTGGAAATGCAGCAAGAAATGTTGACAAGGTGACTGAGATCACACCTGCGTGGGGTTTGAGCACTACATGGGCACAACTAGCTCTTCTGTAAGTCAGTAATTACCTCTTTGAATGAGCTTGTGTGTCTTGAAGAAGTAGTGAAATGCACACAGATAAATGAGAAATACTTCCCCCATGAAGTTCCATAGCAAACTCCCATTTCTACTCTGATTTTGCCAGAGGAATCACATCTAAAATAATGTGGTTTCTCTTCCTTTCTGTAGCCAAAGTGTGTTCCCAAGAATAAACAGCTTCATGGAGGAAGTGCAAGGGTGAACAAAAGGTGGTGGAAGAATAGTTGTGTTTCAAATGAGGGAGGGCAGAAAAGCAGATTGGTGAGGGGATGGAGACTTAGGAGTGTGGGGAAGCAGTGAGTGCAGAGTGGTGTTCTCCAGTGGTTTTTCCTGTTTGAAACTGGGATTTATCTGCAAAAATACAAGGGAATAAAGACAAAAGCTCATCTCCACAGTACCCTGCGGCCACGAGAGGGAGTGAGACGTTCGCAGCTCGTGGTTGGTATGAAACGCTCTCTGTGCAGGGCTGGATAGATGAACTGCCCTAATCCCAGCGAGGAAATTCAGCCCAGGAATATGCTCCAGACAAGTCAGGTTTTGAGCTGCAATTTTTTTGCCACCTATTCAAGCAGCAGCTTGCTTTTCCACCCTGGCTACATGTCCAAATAGGGATGAAAATGCATGGTTTGGTGAGAGAAACAAGGCAGAGAGATCTTCCAGCAGCAGAAACCATGTGTGTCTGGAAGTGACCCCAGCTCACCTTCTCACTGGCTACCACATCCACAGGGAGCAGCAATCTGAAGGATTTTATTGAGGATTCTCACTGGCTACCACATCCACAGGGATTTTATTGAGGGGCAAAGCATACCTTAAATAAAACTGGATCCAAGCACTGAAATCAGGGCAGAGATCAGGGATATTTCAGCTATTTTTCAAACTCTGAGTATGTGAATGGTGGATTCATTCACATATTATTCCACTGACGTGTCCCTGAATCATGTACTGCAATCTCTGAAAGTGAAATACTCTACCAGTGAGTTTAATAAAGGGTCTCAGCTGCCACTGCTAATGCTTTGTCTGGGAGAAAGACTAGACTAAGAGCGTGGGGTTACAAATATTTGTGCTAAATGTTTATCATATTGGATTGTTTTCCTGAAAAAATAAAGTGAGTAATTGCAAGGGAAACTAGAACACCATAAAATCTAACGAATCTTTATCATAGTTCAAACCAACGATTAGATTCAGAGTTTGATTGTTCTCTGGACTACACTATACATTATTTTTTCTGGTTAAAATTGAAATGATGACTTGAGAGTGTGGAAAGGGTGGAGTGCCAGTCTGAGGGTAGAAGGTGCACCTAGAGGAATGTGATTAAATAGAATTCATCAAGACAGAGCTTATCTTTGTGGTACCCAAACGGCTGCATGGGATCACTTTGTGTGGCAGCAGCTTGTCAGTAGTAACTCTGGGGAGACAATGGAAGGCAGTTCTAATGCAGGATTTTCCTATCTAAGGGGTAAATGAATTCAGGCTTTAAATTGAGGGATGAATGTTTTATGCTTTGCTCTGTATTTGCAAGACCTGTCTTGCATAAACTAATCCTAGGACACAAAGGAGAAGGAGATAGCTGTTCTCCTGGAGACCTGCTCACCACTGTGATAGCCCCAAGACATCTACACGTGTTTTCAGATCAAGGCACCATTGTGTCCTTACAAAATGAATATTTAAAAGCCTGTGCCTTTTAACATGGAAATGCTGAAAGCTTCTGCGGTGAAGATCATTTAACTTTAAAGCTCCATCCTGTTGCTGCTTCCAGTGATTTCCATTTGAAATGGGGAAACTGAGGTGCTGAGCACTCTGCTGCTTTTCCCAAGGTTACACAGTTGATCAGGAGTGAAAATAAGTATTGCAGGTTCTCTCTCCAGAGCCAACGCAGTCTCTATTCTCTAAATCGTTTCATAAATGTAAGTAGTGAATTAAGAGGTTTTTTTTCTTTATTGGAATATTAATATTTCTCAGTTTCACTGCAGGAAACTGCATTAGAGGACCATGATTCATGGATTTGTAGGCGTTGGCAGCTGTACACCAAGTACAAAGGATATTAACACTTTTAATTGCCTGCAAGAACTATTGATAATTCAGTATCTTCTATGGCAAATAAGATTAGTCCTAAAATAAGGATTTGGATCCAAATATCTAATACTCTAGCCTGTAAGTCATAGAAGTTTAAAAAAGGGAAACTGAGACC